GGCCGAGGAAGAACCTGAGCAGCGGGGTCTACTAGTATTCCTGCCCTGGGCCGAACGGAAGCAGCGGCCGCAGGACGCACAATGCGCACTACAACACGGCTCCACTGAGGTTGGGGGGGGGACACACACACATACACACACGCGCGCGCGCGCGCGCGCACACACACACACACACACACACACACGTGGATGAACCTCAGGAGCACACAACCATGGATTAAAGAATAAAGTCACGCATAACTGGGGAGTCGTCAAAATAATACCGGTATTTGACGACTCCCTGGTTATACGTAAGTTGTTACATGACGATTGTTAGCTGCAGAGCAGGCACACTGTAGCCTAGGAGAACTGTCCCCATTACCATTATAGCTTGGTATTGTAAACGTACAAAGTATGAAATTGCTGCACTCAGAACCACACAGATAGTTTCAGGCAGTGTGCTGAGTGACAACCAGCACAGGCAGCAGCTGCACACGTCGTCCGTCTTCCCTTCGCGGCCATTGCCAATGTCTGTCTTCGGCGCGCAACAGCTGGCTCAGGCCAGGGACTTTTAACCGTGTACTACAAGTACTATTATTAGAGCCGTCAGATGCAAAAAGGTACCTTATTATTATAGAAGTTCAGCCGAATCATGGTCAACGCAGCCTGGCATGAGAAGCTGTATGGATACTGTGCATGATTGTATGCTTTTTTTCACCGTGGTGCACCACACGCATTGTCCCGGGTCGCGAGGCTGGCAGGAGCGATAGTCCCGAGCCAGCCCTGAATCACGCATGACCATCTTCGCATCTACCACCAAGTAATATCCTCTTTTGCGCCTCTCTCTCGGCCTCCCCATGAGATCCCGACATGTTGATCTCTCATTGCTGTCTCTCTCTCTCTCTCTGACTGAAGTACTTTCATCATGGTTATTTTAGACGTCAGAATAATTTTGTGCCATCGTGATCATCGAGCTAGCACTTTGCAGACATGACCTGCTGCAGTGCTGGGGTCCGTACCGGTTCATGCAGAATAGTAATCTACTCCTGGTCACACGAAGATCGGATGGCTATTTGGGCCAGGGGTCTAGTCACGAGTTGACGGAGAAACCTAGAATTTATGAACTAAGTCGATTCTGATGGCAACGCTGCTGTTGAACTCCTCTGCTGCTGGCTCACCAAGCACACATCCCCAGTGTCCTGGCCCGCAGCCGCTACCGAGAAACTGCACTACCCAGACTCTGATGTCAGTGTTTGAAGCAGGGACAATAGTATCAACACCTACTCTCTGGTTTGTCGTGCATTAATTTTCACACACTCGCATTGCCTTGCATTCTTATAATGAAGGACTAAACACCGGAGATCAGTTGGCAGATGGCCAATAATTTTGGAATTTCAAAAATTAAAAAGGGAGTCTAAACAAATCTCTAAAACATATCCTGACGAGATGACAACAAAAACAATTTTAGAAAATGGACACCGAACCCTTGCCAATGGTGTATATGGTCCGAATACGCAACTCGTTTTTTTCTCATTGCGTTTAAAAATCACTAAGTTAGTACTACTACTTGTATTAGTACCGGTAATACCAAAGAGAGTTCGCCCTTATATTTATAATAAATTAAAAATAGAGTGCCTAAAAGTTCTACGAAAATATTGCGCCGTGCTCTGGATATTGTTGGGCATGGGTATCGGTGACTGAGGGTGAACACACAGGGAATGGAATATTATGGCCACGGGCAGAATCCGTAGACGCTAAACGGCTCTTGTCCAAACCGTCTTTAAATAGAGTAAAACATAGTGTGAGAAAAGTATTGGTTCTAAATAAATGGAAGGAAAGATCTTAAAAAGGGAAGGGGAACAGGTGCACCAGTAAGTCACATAAACTGAAGCTAGCAGTTGCCATGTGCAGAAATACTCTTGTGCAAAGACTGGTGCGCCTCATCGCCGGTGTTATATTTACACGGTTTCCTTTCCTGGCTGCTGCTGCTGCTGCTGCTGCTTGTCCCCGATGTCCTCCATGACTGCATCATGGGTCGCTTCGTTGACAGCAGCATTACACTCTCTGGCCGGGGGCCCGATAAGACTCAGCAGCACAGGCAAAAGGAGGAGTCCATTGACAAACGCGATCAGCACCATGACAACAAACGTCAGCGCGTAGTAGTTTCTGAAGAACGGGAATTTGTTGGCGGAGAGCACAGAGAGAGCAATGATGGTGCTGAGTGCGCCGTTGATCATCGGCTGCAGCATCTCATGCAGGGCAGTCTTCATACGCTGATTGCGGCTGCCGCTGGCCAGGAGGAATGCCCGGGCATAGTGGGCAGTGAACTCCACGGCCATGCCGATGGAGATGACCAGGTTGGCGATGGAGATGGCGTTGAGATTGACGTTCATGACGGGCATCAGGCCGATCAGCTCAACTTCAATCATTAGAATAACGGAGCAGACAATGAGCGACAGCCAGGGGTTGAGCTGAAACACGAAGGTGATGATGAAAACACCCAATAGGCCAAAGCCAATGGCCTGCCAACAACACGGAGAGGAGAAGGATATAATGATAATAGTAAGCCTTCTGTGTTATCGATTTCAGAGGTGGATCTTAACTAGGGGTGAAAGTTGGCACTGAGATCCCGAGTTCGAGTACTCTGATTTTCTCCGATCGAATATTCGAGTATTCTTCATCACCCAAAATTTGCACACCAAGGGCCTTAAAATCACATGATACAACCCTTATCGAAGCGAGTAGCAGTCATTTTTCTCGGGTATATTGGTTGGTGGGTCATTTGGGCTCTCTCTACTCGTGAACAAATGTTCACCACATAGTCTGCTTATCAATATCTGCCAACTGCTGCTCTGAAACGCCAGATATCTGTGGTAAATGCATGTACCATGTATGAATGAGTACTCTGATTTATTCCGAGTGCGATTATTTTTGAAAAAACCGAGCGAGTACTCGAGTATTCGGTATAATTGTTTCAGCCCTAATCTTAACACATTCCCTGGAAAAGCCGTTAAAAGATTCTCAGTTCACCTAAGACTCTGCTAGACTGAGCTTTCCCATGCGCAAAGCGCCACCGCCCTGAAGGATGAGCCGTTTAAATGCACAAGTAAGCAGTACTAGTAAGTCTATTGCTCAGCACTCATCTCATTGATCATGTGGGGCAGGGGTGTACTCTTTCTATTAGCATACACAAATCAGTTAGCTACTTAAACACATCAGTTAGTTACTTAAAAACACATCAGTTCCTAACTCTGATCAGTTAGTTACTTCCACAAATCAGATAGTTACTTCCACAAATCAGATAGTTACTTACACAAATCAGATAATTACTTACACAAATCAGATAATTACTTACACAAATCAGATAATTACTTACACAAATCAGATAATGACTTACACAAATCAGTTACTTTAATAGTTACTCACACAAATCAGTTACTTTAATAGTTACTCACACAAATCAGTTAGTTACTTACACTGATCAAGGTGGTGACTATGCCAAAGTACTGCTCCCAGAAGTAGAATACGTAGCCCGTTGGGTACACTTGAACGTCGCTGTTACTGTACGGATCCACGCGGGCGCGGATGTCCTTGATGGCGTCGAGGTGGTCCTGATGCTCACGCAGGCCATCCATGTAGAAGTCGGTACGCGTCGCCATCAGAACGGCACCAGGACTGCCGCACGGAGCACGCTTACCACCGCTGCCCTGACAGTAGAGGTATGGCGTGAGGCCGGCGCCAGCAGTGGCCAGCCAGACCGGGAAGATGGCATCGTAACATGGCTTGCTGGTGATGGGTGTGCTGACCCCAGCGGCTGGACACTGCAGCTGAGCTGGAAGAGCACCAGAGCTACGCTGCCGGTCGTACAAGAAGAGAATCGACGCGGTCGAATTTGTCAGGAAGTTGAGATCGTGAGCGCGCGTGCCATTGACGATGTGCGGGCTGGGATCCAGGGAGTTGAGCAAGTTGATGACCTGTTCCTGGGCCACTGGGTCGCTGAACTGCCGCTTGCCGACGACAGTCACCAGCGTGCTCTTCTGAATGGGGATGACGTCCTCCGCCAGGATGGCTACGTCACGCTGGTATGTGTCACGCAGTGCAATGTCGCTGGTGCGCAAGCCATGTTTGCTGCTGACAATGCCGTGCCACAGCATAGCAATACAGAAGCCACCGAAGACGACAAGCACGGCGATCTTCACAGCGACGTTGGACAGGAAGGGCGCGTAGGCTTTGTCGATGAACTGAGCAATCAGACCAGGGCGCTTCTCCGAAGTGGAATCCTTGATTCTGGTCGGCCCCTCTAGGAAGCACAGATCCATACGCCCTGCATGGTTGCGGCGCATGTCGTACACCATGATCGGAACAAAGATGAGAAACAAGAAGATCAGGTTGACGAGCACGGAGACCATGAGAACTAGCACGAGCTGACGCACGGCGGACACCGGTACGACGTACACGAGAATGAAGGCGGCGGCGTTGGCGAACGACGTCAGGCAGACGGACGGGCCGGCCAGTCGCAGCACGTCGCCCATGTTGTCCTGCGGGCTGCGACGGCGGTCGTTCACCGTGATAAGCGCGTGTGCAAACACAAACATGTCGTCGATGCCGAGACCCAGGGACACGAACGGCGCCAGGTTGATGGTCAGACCGTTCAGGGTGATCTGTACAAACGCAGAGAAGCCAAGGCCTGCAGCACTGCTCAAGCCTATGACAGCTAGACCAGCCAAGCCAAGGCCACCGTGCGAGTCGACCAGGGCCAGCTGCATTTCGTCCTTGTTGCTCCAGTTCACGAGCACGCCGCCCAAGTTGCTGAGTGATAAAACAACCAGCACGGCCATCACACCATAGCTGAGCCCAAGCAGCGATCCCTCGACAGAACCCGCCTGCTCCAGAATGTCGGTGAGCGAGTTGCCAGTGCTGAAATCAAAACGCATGGAGGAGAACTGCTCGCCCGGGCCGTACGACGAGCCAGACTGGCGCTCATAGAGCTTCAGCCACTCGTTGGTGAGCTTCTCATCGAATGCTCGTGCCAGGTCTTCACGGCGACGTTCGCTGTTCCACTGGACGGACGGGTAGCGCTGCTGCAGCTGATCCTGCCACTGCGGGCTGTTGTGATGGTAGTCTTCCCAGCCGGCGCGTACCAGAGTGATGCTGGACAGGTCCAGGCTGGAGAAGCCGACGCGGGGAACGCGACGCCTCCCGGGTCGCGACGTGCCCGCCGTGTGAATCGACGTGCCCACAAACGCACCGTTCCACGCCTGGCAGCACTTGGCCACGCCGCGGATGCACGCGGACAGATCGCCTCGCACGGCCGGGTCCAGCTGAGCGTTGGCCGCACTGTTGACGTGCTCGACGACCTGACTTGCCGTCATCGTCCTGTAGCTGGGCCGCCAGTAGTAACCGACAGAGCTGAAGAACTGCGCAACTTCCACCAACTCAGCACTGGCAGCCTGTACGGCAGCACTCTGGCTACCCGGTGCTACACCAAGATGGCCAGCCACGGCAGCACCCAAACATCTACTTCCAATAAGAGAAGCGGCGGGAAGCTGGCCACTTTTCACCCGACGGTTCAAGTTCAGGTACAGGAGAAGAGAGCCGACAAGGGCGTTGCTACCGGCAACGGGCTGCAGAACGCGTAGAACGATCTGAGTTGCTTGCTCGGCGAGGGTCTCCAGTTCAGCGCGGCTTGTTGTGGACGGCAGGGCTGTAACCACAGGGCTGAGAGCGGCGGTGACGGCCCCGCGGAGAGATCCGGAAGGGTCGAACTGATCCAGGCTGCCCCGCTGCGGGGTGATAAGCGTGTTCAGACTTCCGTTTACCCCCGCAATACGGCCAGGCTGTGTGCTCAAGTCTACTGAAGAAGCCAGCAGGCATTGGAGATTGCCGTCATGGGTGAAAAACCAGCACGGCACGAAGAAACCACTAAGAACAATCTCAACCACAGTCAGCGTCGGAAAGCCAGGCGCAAACACTGACAGATCCACGGGAGTCCGGGCAATTTCATCGAGGAAGGCGCCGTATGTTGTGGTGACAGCTGTTGCAAGTGGCAGTGAGACATGGCCTAGCTGGCGGAGTGCGATGGGCCAGTCGACCTCCTCGCCTTCTCTGAAGCAATCCAACGTACTGGCTCTCGAGCAGGGAAACTCATCTATCCCCCAGCCTGGCGGAACAGGAGTGTAGTTAGCTGGAAGTGCAGAGTACTGTGTCTGCAGCGAGGGATAGATGAACGACGTAAATCCTGTTTCCGTCTGCATGCACTGGGAGAAGCGCCCATACAGTTCGGCCGAGCTCTGGTTTCGCCGGAACGGGAAAGGCACAACTGGCTTTTCGCACACATCACTCGGCCCGTACGTGTTACCTTCGTAGGTGAACGTTATGTTCTCCCAGATACGCATAGCCTGCTGCAACGCAGCCAGTCCATTGGAAGTAGAGTTGCCAAGGACTGTGGCTGTGTCATCGCCAGAAAACAGACTCTCTCCAGCAGTGGAGGGTGTTACAATGCTGGTCAGCTGCCGGGTCAGGCCACCGAAATACTTCTCGAACTCTGCCTTCTCGCTCACCAGTCGTGAGTCCAGGTCGATCCACAGCTCGCTCACGTTTCGTTTGTCCACATCGGCAAGAAGGAGGCCGAGCGAGAAGGCCACTGCCAGCAGCACACCAAGTCCGCACACTGGCGCTGTGAACCGGACAACAATGCTGGCATAACCGGCGAAGAGACGATCTGCCGCGTTGTTGGCCGACTTCCACGCCGAACTCATCCTACACTCTTCAACACCGGCAGATTCGTGCATCAACAACGAACTGCTGCCATCACGGGTCCCAAGTGCTAGCAACAGAAAGGGAATTTCCGAGCTGGCCATGCATGGTTATCAACTGTTGGAAATGCTGCCAGGTTGACCTGCAGTGAGTTGGTTTCGAAAGGTGGCCACGCGCCCCATGAAAACCATGACTTGAAGCAAAGCCGGGAAGAAACGTTTAAACTTGAACCAGTTCAAAACAACTGCCAACTGCTACTTTCACCTTCGGACAACCATGTAGATCTACATGTGGCCACATGTACGACCGCATGGACTCAACGGTAGATCTACTTCTGGGTGGATCTACCACAGATCTGCAAGGCACGGGTAGATCTACCGGGTGTAGACCATCTTGACTCTTGTACGTCTTTGCTTGAACTCACCGAGTTTGTTTGAAGCAGGGAGTAGCAGTAGATCCAGGGAGTCGTATCTACTCCCTGGTTTGAAGGAGCTCCATTCATGCATAGATGTACAATCCCCCGAATACTCACCGAGTTTGTTTGAAGCAGGGAGTAGCAGTAGATCTCCTCCCTGGTTTGAAGGAGTAGATCATGCATAGATGTACAATCCCCCGAATATGCGCGCTTCGCAGCTACACGTGGTGGCGACCGTTAGAAATACGCGAATGCAGTTCAGAGTTCGGGGTGCATGTACCATGATGTACCCAGCTTGTAGACCTGGTCTACGTACCCTACACTAGGCCCGCGGGGAAGGGGGGGGGGGGGTGATCGGGGAGTAGTAAAATGATAGTAGGGCATACCGGTACTTTGGCATCATCTCACGATATGAGCAGGGAGTAGTACAATGCCAGGGGTATTATTTTATCGGTACGAGTACTGTTTCCTTTTCAGTGTTCTCCACAATGTTTTCCAGTAGGGCTGTACTGTGCTAATACAACATCCCTGGTTACGAGACGGTGGTAGCCAGGGAGTCGTGAACTACCGATTTTTGGCGACTCCCCTGGTGGTGGCGACTTCGGCGATGATTTCATAGGAAAGGTGTTTGCTCCCAACGCCGGAGCTCACACCGTTTCTTTTCCGCCGACTTGACTTGACACTTGACTGACTCACGACTGTCATCCAGAGCATACAGGATTGTCAAGAAGTCCATCGAACCTTCGACTCGGCAAACCAGCAAGAAAGCACCACTCTCTGCTCAATACACAGTGTTTGTTGTTGTTGTTGTAGAAGTGTATTTGACGTTGCACCACAAGCAGGCTGTTTCGCCTCCTTTATTAACTATAATGTGGACGACAGAGGGAATGGGAGAGAGAGGGGGGGGGGGGGACAGAAATACGGAGAGAGGAAGGGTAGAAAATAAATAAGTGAGTCGACCTCAGGGCTACACTAAAGCAAAAACTGAATGGGAATTCTATGTACAAAATAGCATCGTGAAAATTAATATTGCGAAACACGTTTCCTATTCTTTAGTCCGCTATACCACAGAAACACACTCGCCGAAAAGTGTTTCGGGGAATTCACCCCTCATCACTTGACTTGGGTAGGTTGAGGATTCGGAAGATTGTGTCAGAAGAGCACCACTTCGTACTGTAACTAGTACTCAAGTAGTGCTCACTAGGCCAAAGCATCGCCAGGGATACAAACTTACAGAGACGCTCCATTTCCAGCGCGACTAACACCTCGTGAACACCCGATAGCAGTGCGAGTCGTATTCTCTGGATGGCATTCCTGAGTCAGTGAAGTGTCAAGTCAGGTCGGCAGGAAAAGCGCGAGCTCCAGCGTGGAAGCAACAACTTCCTTATAAAAGTGTTGCTCCTGGACGGTCAGAACAGACGTTGAGGACCCTCCGTCACTCGCAAGGCTATCACCTCCAAACCATGCAGCTAGTCGCAAGCCCGCGCTGGGAGCCTGGGAACACCAGTACAAGCTAGTGGTAGCGACTTCGGCGATGATTTCATAAGCCGTGAAAGGTGCTTGCTCCTCACACTGTGACTGGAGCTCGCTCTTTTCCGCCGACTTGACTTGACACATGTCTGGGCGGGACAATACGATGTATATTTTTGATGTTAGGGTTTAATACACACCTTAAAACTGGCCGCATTCAGTTGGTATGCAAGTTTGCACAAGTCATGCTGGGGGTCAGTGGGAGAGGTCGATCGTACACACGCGGAACAGCTGAGGTCCCAGGAGGACAGAGCTCTGGGCCTGGGGGACTCCAGTCCAGCCGGAATGGACTGCCACGACGCCATAGCGGAGCCAGCCTTGACTCGTGGTCGGCGGCGAGTAGCTTGTGAGGTAGGAGGTCGGCATGCCAGACTCGGTTTAATTCCATACATGATGTAGGTCGTAAAATGATAGTAGGGCATACCGGTACTTTGGCATCATCTCACGATATGAGCAGGGAGTAGTACAATGCCAGGGGTATTATTTTATCGGTACGAGTACTGTTTCCTTTTCAGTGTTCTCCACAATGTTTTCCAGTAGGGCTGTACTGTGCTAATACAACATCCCTGGTTACGAGACGGTGGTAGCCAGGGAGTCGTGAACTACCGATTTTTGGCGACTCCCCTGGTGGTGGCGACTTCGGCGATGATTTCATAGGAAAGGTGTTTGCTCCCAACGCCGGAGCTCACACCGTTTCTTTTCCGCCGACTTGACTTGACACTTGACTGACTCACGACTGTCATCCAGAGCATACAGGATTGTCAAGAAGTCCATCGAACCTTCGACTCGGCAAACCAGCAAGAAAGCACCACTCTCTGCTCAATACACAGTGTTTGTTGTTGTTGTTGTAGAAGTGTATTTGACGTTGCACCACAAGCAGGCTGTTTCGCCTCCTTTATTAACTATAATGTGGACGACAGAGGGAATGGGAGAGAGAGGGGGGGGGGGGGGGGGGGGACAGAAATACGGAGAGAGGAAGGGTAGAAAATAAATAAGTGAGTCGACCTCAGGGCTACACTAAAGCAAAAACTGAATGGGAATTCTATGTACAAAATAGCATCGTGAAAATTAATATTGCGAAACACGTTTCCTATTCTTTAGTCCGCTATACCACAGAAACACACTCGCCGAAAAGTGTTTCGGGGAATTCACCCCTCATCACTTGACTTGGGTAGGTTGAGGATTCGGAAGATTGTGTCAGAAGAGCACCACTTCGTACTGTAACTAGTACTCAAGTAGTGCTCACTAGGCCAAAGCATCGCCAGGGATACAAACTTACAGAGACGCTCCATTTCCAGCGCGACTAACACCTCGTGAACACCCGATAGCAGTGCGAGTCGTATTCTCTGGATGGCATTCCTGAGTCAGTGAAGTGTCAAGTCAGGTCGGCAGGAAAAGCGCGAGCTCCAGCGTGGAAGCAACAACTTCCTTATAAAAGTGTTGCTCCTGGACGGTCAGAACAGACGTTGAGGACCCTCCGTCACTCGCAAGGCTATCACCTCCAAACCATGCAGCTAGTCGCAAGCCCGCGCTGGGAGCCTGGGAACACCAGTACAAGCTAGTGGTAGCGACTTCGGCGATGATTTCATAAGCCGTGAAAGGTGCTTGCTCCTCACACTGTGACTGGAGCTCGCTCTTTTCCGCCGACTTGACTTGACACATGTCTGGGCGGGACAATACGATGTATATTTTTGATGTTAGGGTTTAATACACACCTTAAAACTGGCCGCATTCAGTTGGTATGCAAGTTTGCACAAGTCATGCTGGGGGTCAGTGGGAGAGGTCGATCGTACACACGCGGAACAGCTGAGGTCCCAGGAGGACAGAGCTCTGGGCCTGGGGGACTCCAGTCCAGCCGGAATGGACTGCCACGACGCCATAGCGGAGCCAGCCTTGACTCGTGGTCGGCGGCGAGTAGCTTGTGAGGTAGGAGGTCGGCATGCCAGACTCGGTTTAATTCCATACATGATGTAGGTCGTAAAATGATAGTAGGGCATACCGGTACTTTGGCATCATCTCACGATATGAGCAGGGAGTAGTACAATGCCAGGGGTATTATTTTATCGGTACGAGTACTGTTTCCTTTTCAGTGTTCTCCACAATGTTTTCCAGTAGGGCTGTACTGTGCTAATACAACATCCCTGGTTACGAGACGGTGGTAGCCAGGGAGTCGTGAACTACCGATTTTTGGCGACTCCCCTGGTGGTGGCGACTTCGGCGATGATTTCATAGGAAAGGTGTTTGCTCCCAACGCCGGAGCTCACACCGTTTCTTTTCCGCCGACTTGACTTGACACTTGACTGACTCACGACTGTCATCCAGAGCATACAGGATTGTCAAGAAGTCCATCGAACCTTCGACTCGGCAAACCAGCAAGAAAGCACCACTCTCTGCTCAATACACAGTGTTTGTTGTTGTTGTTGTAGAAGTGTATTTGACGTTGCACCACAAGCAGGCTGTTTCGCCTCCTTTATTAACTATAATGTGGACGACAGAGGGAATGGGAGAGAGAGGGGGGGGGGGGGGGGGGGGGGACAGAAATACGGAGAGAGGAAGGGTAGAAAATAAATAAGTGAGTCGACCTCAGGGCTACACTAAAGCAAAAACTGAATGGGAATTCTATGTACAAAATAGCATCGTGAAAATTAATATTGCGAAACACGTTTCCTATTCTTTAGTCCGCTATACCACAGAAACACACTCGCCGAAAAGTGTTTCGGGGAATTCACCCCTCATCACTTGACTTGGGTAGGTTGAGGATTCGGAAGATTGTGTCAGAAGAGCACCACTTCGTACTGTAACTAGTACTCAAGTAGTGCTCACTAGGCCAAAGCATCGCCAGGGATACAAACTTACAGAGACGCTCCATTTCCAGCGCGACTAACACCTCGTGAACACCCGATAGCAGTGCGAGTCGTATTCTCTGGATGGCATTCCTGAGTCAGTGAAGTGTCAAGTCAGGTCGGCAGGAAAAGCGCGAGCTCCAGCGTGGAAGCAACAACTTCCTTATAAAAGTGTTGCTCCTGGACGGTCAGAACAGACGTTGAGGACCCTCCG